TGTATTATTTCCTCACCTACCCTGTTCTGTTGTTTGTTCTATGCTTACAAAAAAAAAAAGTTGCATCTCCAATTCAGAGTCTTTGGCTCAACTGAGGCATCCATTGGCCTACTTTATTACCAAGTTCACTTCCTGCTAAGAAACCATTATATTGCTTGGGGGGAAAAATGTATCTCAGTCTACTTTTGTTGAGTTTCATTCATGACAATTCTATTGCCTGGCCTATTTCTTCACTGAGAAAATTGAGACCATCTGAAGTGATCACCCTTAACTCTCCTCCACATCTCAAAACTTCTAGTCCCTGACCCTTTCTTTCCTTCCATTCTATCTCAGGGAAAGGAGCATCCTTTCACTTCCCAAGACTAGCCCTTCCATCTGTGCCTTTGATCTAATTCCTTACCTTCTCCTCTGGGTCATTTTTCTATTTACCCTCCCCACCCCTCCTCTCTTTTTCTTCTTTAGTCTCCATGACTCTATTGGCTGCTTGACCTGTGTGTATAAATATGTTTAAATCTCTGCTACTCAACAGAAATCTCCTCCTGACCTGGCTACCCCTCAATCTAACTACTGTCAAATTTCTTGAAAAAGGAATGTCCAGTTCCTCGGCATTCATTCACTAACTCTCCATGCCTTTACAATCTCCCTTTCATCTTTACCTTCTTACTGAAATTACTCTCTCCAAGGTCATCAAATCCAATGATCTTTCTCAGTTTTCATCCTCCTTAATCAGCCTTCACTGTTAGCCATGCCTTTCTCCTTTTGTAGCACTACTGACTTGGTTGTCTTATGTCTCTGGCTGACTCTTCTCTGTTTCCTTTTCTGGCTCCTTCTATTTCTGCTCCTGTCTCCTTATTGTGGGCATTGCCCAGGCTTTTGTGCCTGAACTAATTTTTTACCCTTTCTGCTCTATTTATGATACTGTCCATTCAGCATCAGAGAATCATAGGATTTCAGCTTTGGAAGGGACCCCAAAGACTTGGAATTATCCCTACAATAACATAGCTGACAAATAGTTATTCCTTGTCTGCCTAAAGATTTCAAATATAGGGCAAACATTCTGGAGCATTCTATTCAACTGTTGGACAGTTCTATATCTATATATAATTTTTTTTCTAACATCCAGACAAATTTGCCTCCTTGTCACCTCTGCCCATTTCCCCCTGATGGCCCCTGGTTCTTCCCTCTGGGGCCAAACAGAAGAAATCTAGCCTTTCTTCCATATGACAGTCATTCATATACTTGAAGGCAGCCATTATGGTTACCATGATGCTCCCCCATCTTCTCTGGGCAAAACAGCCCCAGCTCCTTCAGGTGACATGAATTCAAGACCTTTCTGAATCCTGCTTGTCCTCCTCTGTCTACTCTCCAACTCATCAATGGTTTTTTTTTTTCCTTTTCTGGAACTGTGGTGTCCGGAATGGAACACAATACTCCTGATGAGGTCTGATGAGGGCAGAGTACAGAGAGATGGACACTCCTTATTCTTGGAACTTATGTCTCTCTTAATGTAGCCTGAGATTTTATTAGCCTTGGCAGTTGCCATATCATACTGCTGAATTTGTCGAGTTTGCAGCCCACCAAACCCCAGGGGTCTTTCATAACAAGTGCTGTCTGACCAAGCCCTCCCCATCTTATGCAATTTTATATTTATGCCTATTGAATTTCATCATAGTAGATTCTGCCCAATACTCTCAGTTGTAAAAGTCTTTTCTGCATTGTGACTCTATCATACAATTTTCCCCCTATTCTTCCTAATTTTATACCATCTGCAAATTTGATGACTTTTATCCAAATCACTGATAAAAATGTTAAATGGTCCAGGCCCACCATAAATCCCTGGGACGGCCCACCAGAGACCTCCTGCTTTAACTGAACCATTAAAGTCTACTCAGAAAGTTCTTAATATAGTTTTATAGTTCTTAGAATTCCACATATAGTTATAGTTCTTAATTCACGTAATCATGTATCATCTATTCCACATTTTGTTATCTTGTCTAAAAAAAAATAGAATGAGACACTGTATCAAATGCTTCTTCCCAGAATCTATGCAAATTGTATTAGTCCCATCGATTTATTTTGTCTTTTGTGTATTAGCATAACTTCTCTGTTGTGTATGCTGCACACCCCGCCCCTCAGTCCCCACTGTATTGAATATGTCTTTTTTATTTTTTAAATTTATGTATTTCCTTGGTGCCAAGTACAGGGCTCCGCCCGTGGCAGATACACAGTAAGTGTTTTTTGAAATGAATTGAGTCCCCTGGTTTCTGGGTGAGAACTTGAGTTCAGTGGATAGAGTATGAGACTTAGAATCAGGAAGACCTCAGTTCAAATTTGACCTCAGTCACTTATTACCTCTGTGACCCTGGACAAGTCACTTTACTTCTATCTGTCTCAGTTTCTTCAGCTGTAAAATGGGGATCATAATAGCACCTCCCTGTCAGGGTTGTTGTGAAGATCAATGAGAAAACTTTTGTGGAATACTCCAAAAACTTTAAAGAACTATGTAAATGCTAGCTCTTGTTGTTGCTGCTGCTGCTGCTGCTGTCATTATTAAATGTTCCAGGAGTCAGCAAATAGGTGCAGGAGATAGAGTATACAGTGTACAGTCAGATGACCCAGTTTCAGAGCTTTACTACCTATGTGACCATAACATCTCTGGGCCAAAGTTTCCCCATTTGTATGTAACCTGGATTTTAAAACCATTTGGGTTTCCTCCCCTGCAATTATTTTGCCATCTCTAGGTGCCAGAGAGATTCAGAAATGCCGTGGGTCCAAGTCAAAGTGGGTTTTGCCATTAGAGCAGTTGCAGAAGTCTTCTGTGGGTCTTGGTTTCCTTGCTTATGAGAGGAGAAGATTGGACTAGACGGCCTTTGAGAGTCTTTCCAGCTCTATGTGTATGATCCTATGACTGCTCTTTGGAAGTGATGGACAATACAATCAAAAGAAATGCATCATGGAGAATGAACTTGCTTCAGAGAGAGAGGGGAAGTCATCCAGTCCTCCTAGGTTTCTGTGGATCAGAGCTAGCAGCTTTCGAACTGCCATGGCTGTTTGATTGGTCAACGCACCAGGAGAGACCCAACAAGAGAATGCATATGGCAGCATGCTGAAGGGGGAGCTGGAAGGGTAGGATGGAAAGAAGTGATAGCCTCCTGGGGAGAATACCAAGATGGCTCTTGACCTTAGATCCTCTGGCTGCCTGCTTTTGGAAGCAGGAGTGGAGGCTGATGAGACAATTCCTTCCCCCCACCCCACTTTCTATGGACTTTAAAAATTGGGGTGCTGGACAGTACGTCTATGAAGGTGATACAGGTAATCCTAGAACACCTGGCTGAAGAATGGGACTGGGGGCAAATATGTAAACTTCAGGTCTTACTGATGCAGCCATTTGTCAGCAGTGGAAGAGTTTTAATATTGTGGTTTTTCTTTCTGATACCATTTAATAAATGGGCTCTACTCTATACTCTGAGTGTGTAATCCTTTGGGTCACATAAATTTGGGAAGGAGATAAGAATCTTAGTGGGATAAGATTTTTAAAAAGTTACAAGATACCATGTGTTAAGTTAAAGCCCAAACCAGTGGTTCTTAAGCTTTTTGGCCTCAGGAACCTTTTGCAGACTTCAAAATTATTGATAACCCTAAAGAGCTTTAGTTATGATGGGTTATACCATAAATTTTCATCAAATCAGACATTAAAATGTCTTGGCATTATTATGAAAATAGTTTTTACCTCATATATCCCCTGTAAGGGTCTCACAATTTGAAAACCATTGGCCTGACCAAGCAAGACATGATGGAGCCTGGGCACGAACAGGTTGGGATTCAGTATTTTCACATGTGCAAGAAGAATGGAAGCCAGAACACCTCAAGCTCAAACTACCATGTGTCAGTTCTGAGTAGTTATCCTAGCCCTGCCCATTGGCCTGTCCACTTGCAGGGTCCATGGAAGAAAGGTATTTCTAGAAAAAGGATCAATACTCATACCTTTACATGTAGGGTTTGGGCCAGGTGACCTCTAATATCCCTTCCACCTCTAAACCTGTGATTCTATAAAGCATTCTATTTCCCCTGAAACCATAACTCCAAGACTCTTCTCCCAAAAGCCTCTTTACCTTACTGCAAATTGTGAGAAACTTTGGAGGGCCACGAGGCAGGGAAAGGAGCTAGGAAGTTAGGGGATAGAAAAGACAATTCTTATTCAAGTACAGGTTGGGCTGGATGGCTTCAATTCTGAGATGCTGTGAAAGCCCACAAAAGAATCTTTGAGGTCAGTGGCAGGAAGCACAAGGAAGGGACACAGGATTCGGCCTATGGCCAAGTGAGTGTGCTTGTTGGAGAACTCCACCTCACATTTGAAGGCTATAGATCATGGGGAGTGAAGAAAAGAACACATGGGGAGATGGATAGGGGAGATTTACTTGGGACCAAGACAAGGGGGAGGGGAAATCTGTACCAGCAGAAGGCCTGGGTCCTCAAGCAGAGAAACAAAGACCATTCCTCATGCCACTGTCACTCCTCACTTCCCTTCCCTTCTCAAGGGACCCAGTACCAGGGACTGCTGCCACCTAGTCTCCCTCCCCCTCCTGCTCCTTGCCTCCCAGGCAAGGAACTATATATATAAGAACTATATATGGAATTCTAATTACCTCCACCTCACCCCTTTCTCCTCTTAAGAGTGAATCCTCTTGATGCCCATCAATTGGGGAATGGCTGAGCAAGTTGTGGTATATGAATGTAATGGAATACTATTGTGCTATAAGAAATGGTGAACAGGCTGACTTCAGAAAAACCTGGAAATTTCCTCCCCTCCCCCTCCAGCATCATAGAGACAGAGATTTTCCCTTCCCCCTCTCCCCCCAAAACATTTGGATAAGGGCAGCTCCCTCCCTCACTTCTCCCAAGAGATCCTAAGATGGGCTCTGTTTCTTATCCAGTTCCATATCACCCCATGTGCCCAGGCTATGAAGGTTAACTCCCAACACACTGAGCAGGAACTGAAGCCTTGTATAAACTTTCATTTTTTTTCTTCTAGAGGATCCATGTAGGGCCAAGCAGCTGGTGCCTTTGGGCTCAAAGCCAGATGGGCCAGGAACCCCTCTGACATGTTTCTCTAGATCCTCCAGCTATGGGTAGTTTGACTCTGACTCTAGCCTGGGGGACCCATCAGTCATTCACATGTTGCTTTCATTGCCACTCCGAGCTCTATTGGCCCCCTTCTCCTGGGCGATGAGCTGATAAGACTTTCCAAGGCTTGGGAGGCTTAACTCGGCATCCTGCAGCTCCAGCTCCTTCCGAGACAGATGCTCAATGATGGCAGCACCTACTGAGTCCCCCAGAACGTTAGTGGTAGTTCGGAGGCGGTCCCTGGGGGAAGAGAGGAAGAAATTGATGGGAAAACCCATAGATTAGGAGGGATATGGGGTCTGAAGAGATAGCAATTGTTGGGAGGAGGCAGGGGACAAGTCTAGGTTGCTCTTCCTCTAGGATCACTTGTAGGGAGTTTTATAAGCTAAGAACATGAAAAAAAAAATCAATTACATAGTTGCCAAGCTTAGAATAGAAGCCAGATGCCCTAAATCACTCTGTAATCTTGAACAAGTTGCTACCCCTTTTGGGGTCTCAATTTCCTTCCCTAATGACTCTAATGTCAAGTTCTGATATTCCATGTTCTAAGTTTGAAGGTCTCTTCCAATCTTGACATTCCATGTCCTTGGTGAAATAGGAGCAGGAGACGCCTTGAGAGTGAAAGACAATGATTATGAGGGCTGCGGGTGCCACCCTGGCTCGTACTTACAAGAACCAGTCCACAGCTATGATGAGTGTGATGTCCTCAGTTGGGAGCCCGACTGATGTAAGCACAATGACCATGGTAACAAGGCCAGCCTGGGGGATGCCCGCAGCCCCTATGCTAGCAGCTGTGGCTGTGATGCTGCCAGATGGACACAGTTCCGGGGGAACATAGGAAGAGAGGAAGCAGGGAGGAAAAGGAGAGGAGGTAGAGAGAGGTCAGTTTTCTGGGAACCACATTTCCCTGAACGACAAATTACACCATAAGCCAAAAAACATTCAGTAATTACTCATTGTGTGCATTTGAGACTCCTTTTGCCTTGGTGAGAACTGCTTATGATTTCATAGAATCTCAGAGCTGGGTAGGATTTTAGAGGGCATCTACTCTAACCCGTACCCAAGCAAGAATACTGTCTTGGCAGAAAGATAATTATCATGTGAAAGATATTGGAATGGCTCAGTTTTGCCTCCGATAGAAAAAAGTATGAGCAATAGATTTAAGTTACAGGGAGGCCAAATTAGGGTCAAGAAAAGAAAGAGTTTTCTAAGGATTGGAGTTGTCTGGCAACTAGAAATGGACTGTCTCCTGAGGCAGTGTTCTGGAGGTATTTAAGCAGATGCCGAATGACAACTTGTCAAGGTGGTTGCAGAAGAGGATCCAGCATTGGGTCAAAGGTTGTCCTATGTATATTTCTTCTAATGTCCCTTCCAGGCCTGAGATACTGCGATTTTGCACTGTGGAGGGAATTCCCTGAGCAGCTAATATGAGCGGTCTGATCAGCCTGCCCAGGTTTCTTTATTTCTCAGTGCAAATTAATCTTGTGGCATCAGGTTTATGAATCAGTCTCACAGGAGTAGAAAGCAGTCACTCAGAATCTAAGAATTAATTAAATTGACCCCTGAAGTTGCAAAGATACTGGACAGTCACAACTCTAGTAAGACGCAGGGGAAGACTTTATGAGGTCCATCCTGAAGTGGTGTGTGGCTGCTACCCATTTTCACAACACCTCTCATTTCTAGGCTCCCTATCACTCACTTCTTCCTTTCACCATCACTCTGAAACAATGAATTCTTTTACCTCCACCTCATCCCTTTCTCCTCTTAAGAGTGAATCCTCTTGATGCCCATTAATTGGGGAATGGCTGAGCAAGTTGTGGTATATGAATGTAATGGAATACTATTGTGCTATAAGAAATGGTGAACAGTCTGACTTCAGAAAAACCTGGAAAGACTTGTATGGTCTGATGCTGAGTGAAGTGAGCAGAACCAAGAGAACTTTGTACACAATAACAGTTGTGTTACATCAACAATAACATTGTACGATGATTAATATTGATAAACTTAACCCTTCTCAGCATTACAAGGATCTAAGACATCTCCAGAGGCCTCGTGATGGAAAATGTTATCCACATCAAAGAAAGAACTATGGAAGTTGAATTGCTATCATTTTTTTCTCTTCTGTTGAGTTTTGTTTCCTCTTTCTGATAGTTCCTCCTATTGGTTTTAATTTTTACTTACAACTTCACTGATGTGAAAATATGTTTAATAGGAATGTAAATATATAGCCTATATCAAATTGTGTGCCGTCTTGGGGAAGGTGGTGGGGAAGGGGGGGGAATTTTAAACTCAAAAGCATATGGAAGTGATTGTTGGTAAATCAAAATAAATTAATAAAAAAATTTTAAAAAGAGTGAATCCTCTTAACCCCCCTCAATCCCATCCCCTCAATATCCTATCACTCATTCAATGCTCTCTCCACTTTCCCATTACTCATCCCAACCTCAAGTCACCCATCCTCTACCACTATCAGTCAGTAAAGGCTTCTCCCTTCTCACAGCTCCATCTATTTCCTATTCCATGCCCTCACCCCCATCACTCTCATATCAAGCACAGCACCAATGGTAGAACTCACCTGATGGTGGTGATCTGTCCCAGGTTGAGTTCATAATTGTTGACCTGGGCTATGAAGATAGCTGCCAAGGCTTCATAGAGGGCAGTGCCATCCATGTTGATGGTTGCCCCCACAGGCAGCACAAACCTGGTGATGCGTCTATCCACGCCAAGGTTCTCCTCCAAGCATCGGAAGGTGATGGGCAGAGTTGCTGAGCTGGGGAGATAAGACTCCAGGAGCATTTCATGGGCACCTCCCGGGAGGGGCCACAGAATGCCTTGGAGGGCCATGGGTCAAGAAGAGACTAAAAGCCCAGGCCCTCTGGCTTTGAGAAAGCACATTTTTAATCTTATGGGGAAATCTCATAAGGCCTGATAGGGCTCAGTGAGTAAATGATGAAAATAATTTGGGGGCTAGCAGAGAGGCTGTATTAGCCTTTCATGCAGATGAAGCAGGAATAAACGAGTATGCTATGAAGGGGTGCCAGAGAGGCCTTCCACACACACCTCCTTACTTTCTGAGGCCCCACATCCCCACATCTCTCATGCCTTTGGCTCTGAAAAGCCTCAGTCTAAAGGATGATGCATTACCTGGACAGAACAGCACAAATTATCTCATCACTTTTGCAAAATACTTTTAGCTCTTCTTTTGGGGCAGGGTCCTGAGCAAGGTGGGGTAAAGGTTGTTTGGAGATGATAGACTTAAGTAGGGGCAAATTTGAGAGCTCAGAGTGGGGTTGGGGAATGGAAAGAGGGTGGTGAGAGAAAATCAAAGACAACTGTAACCCAGTGGCAATCCAGGCACCCCAATCCCATAGATGACTGACTCCCTAGTGGGGTCATATAATCCTAAGACCTCAAAATATCAGCAGTGGAAAGGACCCTAAATGTCTTTGGGTCCATACTCATTTTGCAAGTAAGAAAACTGAGGCCTTGTCAGAGGAAGAGACTTGCCCAAAGTCACAGAGCAGATCAGCAGCAAAAAACGAAATCTGAGTCTAAAACTCTCTTTCCAATAGTCCTATGGCTATGACCGACATGGTACAAAGCCCAGGAGTCCATTGATCCTAAGCTATCAGACAAGTTCCCCAAGAATGGGGGCCCTGGAGTCGTGTCCTTTGACCCTGGAAAGAGAGGCAGGACTCTTGTATTACTTCATCTATTTTTATATGTTTCTTCTTATCTCCACTACACAAAACTCAGAGTAGCTATGGCCAAATATACATTACCATAATTCATCCTCCAGAGGCCAACCTTCTGGCAGTGGACTTCTCCACCCTTCGCTAGGTTGATTGCCTAATATATAGACCTGCCAGAAGGGTGAGGATGTGGTCGCCACCACATCATAGTGAGGTATCACAGGAGGACTTGAGGGAAGGTTTTCCTTGTAAATAAAACTTTTTAAAATAGCTCTTGTACTCTGGGGTGTGTGTAAGAGAGTACTGGGAGGGAAGTAGGTGGTGGTTTCTAAATAAGCAGATAAGAAGCAGAGGAAGAAGAAGGGAGTCAGGTAGCAAAGATGCAGGGGCAGATAGCAGAATGAGTGTTGGACTTGGAATCAGGAAACATGGATTCAAATCCCTGCTCTGATATTTAGCTGAGTGTGTCCTTGAGCAAGTCAATGAATTTCTCTGACCCTCAGTTTCCTGATCTGTAAAAATGAACATAATAGCACTCTTGCTACCCAACTTATACATTTTCAAGAAAGTGCTTTATAATCCTTAAAGTACTACACACACACACACACACTCACAAACACACACAAATACATACATACACATACTTGTGCAGTGATGATATTTTTTAGTATAGACAGTTACTATTTTTATGGTCTCCAATCCTCTTGCCAACTTGGTCACCCTGCTTCAGGACAATTCCAGTCTGTCTATGTCTTTCCTAAACATAGCACTCAAAATTTGGTACAATATTCTGGCTTTGGTTGGGGATGGAGGATCAGACCATGTCTGGGGAGGCTTGAAGAGGGGACTCCAGATAACTAGAAGGGGCAGATGGAAGGAGGGGGGCTAAAGCTGAGCTGAAAGTAGAGGAGGGGCCCATGGCTAGGGAGTCAGTACCTGGAGGAAGTGCCCATGGCTGTGATGAGGGCCTGCAGCATACCAGCGATGAAGGGGAAGGGATTCTTGTGTGTGATGAGGAAGTAGAGGAGTGGGAGGACACCCCCAGCATGGATGAGCAAGCCCACGATGACAGTCAGTGTGTACATGCCCAGCTGTCCACCAACCACAGCTGTGTCCTCCATCTCTAGGATCTTCCCAGCAATGAGGAAGAGGATACCCACAGGAGCATACCTGGGTCCCAGACCAAAGTATACGTGTCAGAGAGTTCCCTGGTTTCACCCCTAGTGAAGGCCAAGTCTTCTTTTTTGGGAAAGTGCCCCCAAGTTTGGTTAGTCCAGCTCCCCAGGACCCAAAGCCAAGAGCACTGATTCCTGTAGCTATTCTCCTATAGCCATCTTTACCCAGGTCTGCACCTCTGCCATCTCAGGCACCCAGGTATCCATTACTCTCCTTCTTTCCCTCCCCTTCCATTCTGCAAGTGGAAGGAGAGCTGTACAATTTCTGAGGCTAAAAGGTTTGGGCTGAACCCTGGGCGGTCAGTTGATCCCCTGGCATAGAGTAGTCATCCACATGGGTGACTCCAACATCTCCCCTCCTGGTGACTGCCTCAGAGCCAGGCTCAGCCTACAGAAGCAGCCAACACATGCTGCCCACTCTCTGCTATAGGAACAAAGAGAGAGAGAGCTGATTCCCTCTCCCTTTCCCCTTGACCTTCTCTCCCATTCTCCTTGGCCCTGCCTAGCCAAGCTCACTCTGTCTCAGACCATCACTCTTCCTACCAGACTCCTGGTATAATCCCCCAAGGTCACACACTTAAGAAGAGGTGAAGTCAAGACTTGAACCCCTATCTTCTTGCTTCAAATCCTGTGTTCTTCCCATTGTATCATTTTGTCTCTGGCCTAGATTTCTCCTTAATAAAAGAAGCAACATAGTGTAGTGAAGAGATTATTGGCTCTGGGGCCAGAAAACTTGTGCCCAAACTCCAGCTCTGCTACTTATCTGGCCTTGGGCAAGTCAGTTCCTGTCTCTGATGGAGCAGTAGGAAGAGCACCGGACCTCAGGTCAAGAAGTCCTGAGTTCAAATCTCACCTCAGACACTTACTAGCAGTGTGACCATGGGCAAGTCACTTAACCTCTGTTTGACTCAGCTTCTTCATCTGCAAAATGGAGATAACAATAGCAATCATCCCCCAGGATTGTTGTGAGAATAAGACCCTCAGACCCTGGAGTCTGCCCCTACTCATTCTACTGGTTTCCTTAGTTTGGGGTCTTTATTTCTAGAGCTCTTCTGTCAAACCATTCCAGGACTTTCACTAGTTTAAAAAAGGGAGAAAAGGAAATAGGATCATAGATTTAAAGCTAGAAGAGACCCTCTCATTTTACAAAGGAGAATATTTGTGAAGTGCTTTGCCAACCTTAAAGCCTTATAAAATGCTAGTTATTATTATTAATTATTATTATCTGACCCTCAATTTTCTCATTTGTAAGGTGAGAAGATTGACCTAGATCAAAGGTTCTTAACCTGGGTTCCATGAAATTGGACCATGAACTTGGGAGAGGGGGGTAACATCTATTTTCACCAACCTCTTAACTTACATTTAGCATCCCCTTCCATTGTGAATGTGGGCAACAAACCACAGGAATATTAGCCTTCACCAGACTGCCAATGAGGCCCATGATATGTAAAAAAGGTTAAGAACCACTGAACTAGATGCACATTAAGGTCTCTTTCCAGTTGTAAATCATGAAATGAGTGCATTTGTACAGAAAGAGACTATTGAAGCATTTGTCAGTGTTAGTTGGGTTTGAAACAGCTTAGGTTCCCTCACCCCAAACATTCCCTTGCATCTGTTAGGTGCCATACAAAAGAGGAATTTCATGGATCTGGAAGCAAATTGCCGGAAACTATTAACAGAACACCTAATCAAATGACCTTCTGGAGTCTCTGAAAGATCATCTCACATTGCATGGGGTAAAATGAAAGGAATAGACTATCAATGACCAAGTGGGCAAGCAGTGACCAAGAACACTGGCCACTTTGGGTCCCAAGCTTGCAGTGGGGCAAAAGGTGGTAGCTTGGCCTATTGATTAGGGCATGGCAGTAGAAGCCAAGATGAGGGAACACAGTGAGCCAGTTGGAAATTCATCATGGGTAGAGATTGCCACTTGAGTTTGCAGAAGTGTTCTGGGAGCTCCTGGGAGTGGAGGATGCTGACCTGGCCATCAGCTAAGAAGGAACAGGAGTTGGCTGGTAAAAAGATTCCCTCCTTCTCCCATCTGCTGTGAAAGTGGAGGGCAGGAATACAATCCTGGGGGAGCAAGGGGGTGGGAGTGGAGAAGGGGGTCAGATCTTTACCACAGTGAGAGATTTGGTCTGGAATTTTAATAATGTCTCTTTTCAATTTTTATTCCTTTCAGTAAATGTACTCTATAATACAAACATGTATTTCTTTAGGTCATGTGAAGTTGGGGAGGAGATAAAAATCTTAATGGAAAATGGGAGTATGAGCCAATTTTGAAAAATTTATGAAATATTATATGATAGAACCTAGACAGTTGCTGGAAGGCTAAGGGTGCTCTCCAATCCTTGTCCAGAGATGCAGGTGAGGAAATCAAACTGCCGAAATATGCTTGAAGGTTTTTAGAGCATCTCCCAGATAGTAACTTGGGCTCAGAGCACCCTCTAGTGGCCGATATGGAAATTGCGCTTCCAGTAGCTATTACCAATCACAATCCCAGGACGCACATGGTCTTAGATGGTTTTCTTTCTCATGTTTAGAGCTAGAAAAATATCATCTAATTCAATCCCTTCTTCTCACAGATAGAGAAACGGAGTCACAAAGAAGGTAAGGGACTTGCCCAAAGGTAGGATTTGTACCCAGATCCCCTGACTCTAAATTATTTTTTCCCCCAATACGCAATGCTGCTTGCTTTTCTCCAATGCACACACATGTGGTGGGGGCGTCAGCACGGAGGAAAACCGCCTAAATCAGCGAAACTCTTGCATCAAAATTTTTAAAGTGCAATAATGGTAGGTTCCATTTCTGTAGAGTTTGATTTTACTAAGTCCTGGCAACAATTCTGGGGGTGCTGATGGGGCAAGCATTATCCTCATTTCCTCCTCATTACAGAGGAGGGAATTAAATCTTTGGGAGTTTAAGGGATTTGCCCATAATCATACCTCTGGTAATTATGGAATAGAGGCAAAATCTGAAGCCAAATTTCTCCATCCCAAGGCCAAGGCTCTTTCAACTTCTGCCTGCACACTCTACACACCAAATGACGCCTCGCATTTTGGGGTTCGTTTGGATCAGAGGAATATAGACTTAGAAATAGAAAGAACTCTAGCAGTCATCCAGTCCAGTCCCCTCATTTTACAGACAAGGAAACTGAGACTCAGAGAGGTTAGCCAATGTCACATAAGGAGTGGCAGAATGGCAGAGTGAGGATTTGAACCCAGGTCCTTTGACTTCCAATGAAATACTGTTTCTACTATATTAAATTCCATTCTATTTTGTATCTTGTATGTTTTGATTCCATTCTGTAAATATACTCTTATATAAAGCAAGTTTGTATTCCTTCCAGTCACATGAAGCTGGGAAGGAGGCAAGACTCTTAACGTAAATTGAAAAGCATTGAGCCAATTTTGATAGTTTTGCCAACTATTATAGGATCATTATATTTACATCTTAAACTCTGGATTTAAGATGGATTCTGGAAAGGCACTCTATGACTATGTTCTCAAGGATGCTTCATGCTTTTATCATGACTTCGGGACCTTCTTAGAAGTCAGTGGACATTTAGAAAGCCTTTGCCAGATAACTTGCCCTGCAATGTATAGGATTCAAATCTATTCTAATCATCAAAGCCCTCAGGTCCCATGGTCTTCACTTCACCATGAAAAATACTCGGGCCATATCCCTAGGTAATGGAGCTCACCAGCTCCTATCCAGCCTCCTCCCTCCCTTAACAACCAATCCTTTATCCTTCCCTCTCCACACAACCCTCTCCCATTGTGAATCATACATCTCCATGACTCTCCTCTTCTGACACATCTCCAGCTTGTAGTTCTTCTCCATAACTAGCTTCCCTACATGCCAATTTAAGTCCCTCCCCCCTAGTTGTCTCCCTACCTTCACCCCTACCCTATTAACTCATGACTCTATCCTCTCTGGCTGGTCTCTTAGTCTGTTTGAAATTCAAAGCCTTTCATAACCTAACCCCCTTCCTACCTTTCCAGGCTTCTTACACCTTACTCCCTAACATATACTCTTCAATCCAGTGACACTGGCCTCCTGGCTGTTCCATAAATAAGACATTCCATCTCTCATTTCCAGGCATTTTCTTTGGCTCTTCTCCATGCCCAGAATGCTTTCCCTCCTCACCTCCACCTACTGACTTCTCTGGCTTCCTTTAAGTCTCAACTAAAATCCTACTCTCTGTAGGAAACCTTTCCCAACCCCTTTTAGTTCAAGTGCCTTCCCTTTGTTAATTATTGCCTATTAATCTTGTATGTAACTTGCTTGGTATATATGTGTTTGCAGGTTGTCTTCCCCATTATATTGTAAGCTCCTTGAGGGTAGTGTCTTTTTTCTCTGTATCCCCAGCCTTAGCACAGTGCCTGGCACAGAGTAAACAATAAATGTGTATTGATTGACTGATTGTTAACAACACCCCTTTAGCACCTTCGATCCTTCCCATCCAGCTCTGAGCTCTAACCCTTTTCATCTCAAACTCTAAGCATAGATCTACGCTGCTTCACTCACCAGATAATGACACCAACAAGTCTCATAATGGCTTCATTGAGGCTGTTGAAGAATACCTTCAGGGCATGGCCCTTTTGTTTCATGCTGCCAGTGACCAGGCCAAAACTGACCGAGAACACCACCAAGCCCAGCGCATTGATGCCACTAGCTGAGCCAGGTACGGGCACAGTCTCCTCAAAACTCAGTACCTCCTGTAAGGTGCCAAGGGCACGAGTAACATTGTCCAAGACACTGGTACTATTGTCCATTAGAGAAAAAGGTGAAGGGGAGATTCCCAGTCCAGTCCTGTTTTCCATCTTCATGACAGTTCTGGTCACCACCCTGGTGCTGTATTGCGTCTTAAACTGAAATCAGAAAGATAAAGACCCACCCACCAAGAACAAGTTGAACCAAATGTCTTCCATGGTCTCTTCTAACTTGGAGCTGTGAAGTTGCAACATTCCCTCAACCCAAAGCTTCAGCCTTTATGTTACCTCTGGGAGGTCCTGGCACATGAGACCCTCTCTAGATCTTAGCTTAAACATTTGGTTAATAGAGGGGCATATTCACCTACACAGGCCCTTCCTAAGGCCCACTGCCCAATCCTTAGAAGGATCTGTCTCCTTCCCTCCCATCTCTCAGCTCCCTGACCACCATCCTTCCACCCACCCCTTATTCTCATGAACAAAACATTGGCCCTCCTCTCTCACCTGTTTGAAGCAGGCTTCCACAAGATTGGGTGGGAACATATTTCTGCAAAGAACCAGGAGTGGGAAGACAGTGAGACTAAAACATAAGGAGTAGTGTGACCACAAAGCACTTTGCCACAAAGAACAATAAAAAGTATAATTGGAAGGAACTGAGAAAGTAGATTACATGGCCGAAAGTGCCCTAAAACATAGATCATTCTAGCTGGAGAAGACTTTATCACTCAATCTAGCCCCATCATTTCAGAAAGTGAGAGAAAGGTGAGAAAACTAACTCAGACAGAGGAAATGACTGGTAGAACAATCATCTAGCTGGTAGAACAAAACTTCTAACCCAAGGCTTCTTATTCCAAGTCTAGTGCTCTTTCCACCATGCTTTGCTGCCTCCAGTTGAACTAGTGGGGATGAAGAGAGACCAAAAACAAGTAAAATGTGATCTTTCCCCACCAGTAACTTATTTACCAATTCTTTGGGTGACATCTTCTGCTCCTGTCTCCTACTCTTCATCTCCTGTACTTATCCTCAGTTCTCTCCATGGATGCTTGATGACCCATCAGAGGTCTCAACTACATGTTTCCTCAAGATTGTAGATTGTATCAAGTTATTTCTTTACCCCATGACAACCACTCACCCTCATAATCAAAAGACAGTGCTCTGAATACTTATCCCTTCTTTCAATAGCAGCTTCCATTTCTCCTTCAAAATGATCTCCTTTCCTTCTGTTTTCAAAACTACTCAGTCCTCCCATGTGCTGTGTGAGGGTGGGGTGAGGGGCAGAAATGGAAACCCAAAAAAACCTTTCCTTCCATATTGTTCCTTTGTGGGTCAACATAAAATCTCTCTCCTTCTTTGTACCATTATCCTCTCTGAATCTGAAGCCTAACCCACTGTCTTTCCTTCTCCACCTCTCTTCTTAAAACACTGTACTTTAGCTTCAGTCCCCTACTCTACTGAAACTATTTTCTCCAAGTTACTAGCGGCATTCTTAATACCAAATCCAATGACATCATCTAGGTCCTAATTCTCCTTGACCTCATGAAGACCATGTTGGCATCACTAGTCAGTTATTTCGGTATTTATCTCACTACCATGACCACCAAGATTCATGTGCCTCCACCTACCATCCACACAAGAGTGTGTACACACACACACTCACTTCCCTGACCACACATGCTAACAACTAACTTTAAGTCACCTCCATTGTCTACATTCCTTGAGCTGTGGATAATGCTATAGGAAAGCCAAGAACTCAGCAGCCCTGACCTCATAGCTATTATAAGGCTGAGGTGAATGGGGCTTTACCCCAGAGCACCAAAATTTAGAGGATGCTGATATAATCTGCATTTCATCAGCAGTGTAGAAACAGCTGTGTTTAGCACTTAGTTAGCAAGAATACTTGCATAGGAAGCTACTGTAAAAGAAACATGGCAACCTCGGTGAGCTCCTTTATGGACTGGCCCATCCCTACTCCCCGTCCCCACTAGATGGTGTCACTGCATCTCTCTCTTCTCCCCTTCAACTGAATTTGTCTTTAAAAGCTGATCTGAAGGCATTTCATGATGCTTGTCCCAATGCCAAAACAGCTCTGTCTGACCTGTGAAGGTCATAGTCTTCAGCCACACAATAGCCCTTGAATAGCAGCAACCTGGCTATTTAAACAGCTCATCTGTTCTCCAACGCTTTCTAGCAGGTTGTCCTTGACAGGATCTTCCCAGTCCATTCTTCTACCATCTTTCCTTTCTTAACAACACAGCAATCCTTTGCAAGCTGCTCTCACTTTCATCTCAATACATATCTGCCTCTATATTAATTCCAAGAATATAGTCAATAGGGTACTGGATTAGTCAGAAGACTTCTTTGTTCTGAGGTAGGGTTCTGTGGGTTGGGGGGAGGAGGGGATTGATACATGGTAGAAATAGTTTTTAAGCATCAATAAAACATTTTAAAAACAAAATAAAATAGTCAAAATACCTGGATTTAAAAGTTCAAGCTCCATCACTCACTAGCTGTGAGACCATGGGTAAGTCATTTAACTGAGTCATCAGAGACTCAGTTGTAAGCTCCTTGAGGACAGGATCTACTTTTAGAGTCAGAAAATATGGGTTCAAATTCTGGTTCTGCTACTTACTACCTGTGTAAGCTTGGGCTAAGTAATTTCACTGCTCTGGGCCCCAGTTTCCTCATATGTAAAATGAGAGAATTACATTAGATAATCTTTCAGATTCCTTCCAACTCTAAAAGCTAAGAGTGCTTGTGATACCAGTACCCTAACTATTCACACAGGAAAAACCAAGTAGATGAAGAATGACTGTTGTCCAGAGTATGACATGCAACTGCATACACAATCCACAGAGCTGGTCTATCAGAATATAGACCTTGGACAGTCACCATAAATGGACAATGAGCAAAGCATAGTATTGAACAAAAGGAAGAAAACTAGGTAGATTTCTTTTGGGAAGTTGTGTAATGCTTTCAATGACTGCATACTTCTTCAGGAAACAAAGCCCATTGAAAAAAAAAAGTCTTCCGATGATGTTACATAGCTTTGATTCATTGAACACTATAGTATACAAAGATTTAAAGATACAAGTCACACATGGGGCATTTTTTCAGTACATGGTGATCAAAACTTGGATACAATTTATTACCCATGAGGAATTTCACAGGAAGTGCATTGTAAAGAATGTCATAAGAAGGTATGATAGTCATGCCAGCCAGTCAATAAGCATTTATTAAATGTTTACCATGTGCCAGGCACTGTGCTAAGTGCTGGGGATACCAAAAAAAAAAAAAAAGGCAAAAAAATAAAATAGTCATGCTCTCAAGGAGCTCACAGTCTCCTGGACCCAGAACAAGGGATATCTGATGGACGGTGAACAAGCTTGGTTGATAAACACGCAATGTCAAGCAACCTAGAGAGAGCTCCCCCAGCATGGTGGGTGGACCTGTGGTAGATTTATGGGAAAATAAGGACAAGAGTCACACCAGATGAGAAGGTATGGATGAGTTATGATCTACAGTGATGGACAGAGTACCCACACTGACCAGAACCCAGATCCATTGACACACTTTCTACAGAAAACATGTGAGATTTGGGTTCTAGGCCTGAGATTGCCATTAACTAGTTATGTGACATTAGGAAAAATCACATCACATTTCCCCCCTGTAAAAAAAAAAAAAAAGTGAATTGTTGGACAAGTAAGCCTTTCTTTTTCTTTATTCTACTCTTTATAAATTAGGTATACCCTTCCACAGCTATATTCTAGTCATATGCTCCATCCCACAAAGTCTCTTACCTTAAGGTGTAGGGGGTGGGGCGGGGCTGGACTTGATAGCTTTCTTTACATATCTGAAAAACTGCCATGTGCATATAGGATTGGACGTGCTCTTATCTCAGGGGTAGAATTAAGAGCAAATTTCAGCTCAGTATGGGGGAAAACATTAATGATTACAGACATCCAAAAGTAAATTGGTCTTCCAGCAAGGTATATATGTAGTGAACCTATTATTATCCTACCTTAGAAATGAAGAAATTGAGACTTGGAGCAGTGAAGCCACTTGCTCAGCATTGCAAAGAGAGTTGAATTGAGCTATCAATTAAGCAGAAGGTATTTACGGAACACTTTTCATGTGTTTGGCCCTATGCTTGGTGCTGAGAAACACGGGGGCCAGGGAACCATCTGCAGTCATCCTGATGTATATCTTGCCACCGGACACAGATGCAAAAGGAGAAAGTGAGACTGGTGACTTTGCATAGCCCTCTCTCACTTGAATCCAATTCACTTGCATATCATGGCATCACCTTCCTGATGTCATGGTCCTCTTTGAGAACAAAGGACAAACAACAAGAGCGAAGAGACATAAGGCTCAGCAACTGCTCTCAAGACATTTACAGTAGGCTCAAAGCAATGGTTCCCTCATGAAAAAAGGAGACCCAAGGGACAGGGTGGAGACCAGTGCCCCAAGGGGTGAAGTCAACCGGCACTATTTCTGGATCTGACAGGAATAAAGAACACCAACCTGACAAGGTCCATGAAGGCATCAGCTGTAGGGATAGATTCAATGCGACCCTCTCTGTGCAGCCCTTCCTTGGATCCTTTCCCAGGGTGGATGATAGTGACCATGAGGATGCCAATGAAGACTGCAATGACTGTGGTCACCATGTAGTAAACAGCAGCCCGCATCCCCATTCTCCCTGAAGCCTTGTTGTCCAGAGATGCCATACCTGGGAGAAGCCACACGGTTCAGTCCTCTGTTCCACCCTCTCCAACAGATCAGTTCCTCTATGTGTCACTTACCTCACTTCCCCCTAGTCTACCCACCACTGATACCATTCTTTCATTGACTCCCTTCCCCTCACCTATCCCTCCTCCATATCCCAACAACTTTATTCCTACCCCTTATCCAAATGTCACTGGACTCCTCAAACCCCACTCCATCCCTGCTTCATTAACCCATTCCTAACCAATCCTCACCTGACCTGTTGGCCTGCCCTCTAGCTATATCCCTTTTCCCCTGATTCTCCCACCTTTATCTATCCCTATCGTTATTGCATAACCTTCCACTTCTCCATCACCATTATCATCCCCTCTTATCCCTAGACTTCCCAGCTCTTCTGTTGCCCAAAGTATGCCTTGGTGCTCCTGGATCTAGGAAGTAGGTATTTTCTCCTGGCACAAGAAACAGAGCATGCCATGTTCCAACTTTCCCTCTGCCCTAGATATATAATGGGCAGTTCTGGGGGCCACTTCATGGATGGCCTTACAGAAGAACAACTCACCATATGGTCATTGACCAGATTGCTTTAGGAGCACAGAGCTATCTTCATCACAGGGTGCCTAAGAGCTAAATTTTCTGGAGTTCAGAGTTAACCCCTAATAAGAAGAGCCCTAGAGTGTTATTCTTCAGTGCTACTACAAAATCATATGGGAATCATGTGTATACATTCTTTGGCCATTCATATTCCCATCCCAATCTTATAGAACCGCTCCAGTTTTCACAAACCCTCAGCACATACATACACACAAAGATCACACATATAGGCTATCACCTACCACCCCCATCTGAAAGCTACATTTTGACTCCCCTTATTTCCCCCACCAACATTCACCTGACTCTATTTTGACTTCTTGTCCTCATAACATGGCTGCATACCAAAAAGTCCAGCATTCTTTCATTACCCCCTTCCAAAAAAAAAAAATCTGTCCCATACATGCTCTCACCACCTCACTAGTGAGAAGATGTGGGAAGAAACAAAGAATAGAAGGAGGTGACTCCTTAGAGTCAAAGGGAACTGGGGTTGGACTCTTCCATGGAAGAGTTAGGGCCAGCTGTTCTGAGTAGTTGGTGTGGGTCCAGATTTGAACAGGAAAGCTTGAGTCCTTAGACAGAATAGTAGCTTTACGGTGGGTCATCAGTGACTCTGGACTCAAGGATCTGGGTCAAGGTTGTGGGGGTACGTACATGCAGTCACGGGCCAAGACAATATCCCAAGTTTGGGGCGCTGGGAAGGGAATACTAATTCTGGAGGTGGGTCTAGGGCCTCCTTACCTGTGATTAGGCTGGAGACGATGAGGGGCAGCACCAACATCTGCAACATCCTCATCAGCAGCTCTCCAGGAAAAGAGAAGTATTTAATCTGACGATAGGTCAGCTGATAAGGGCGCAGGGCAAAGGCGAGGCTGATCCCTAGGCGCCAAGAAGAAAGCGGTGAGGGACTGTGGGTCTCGTAGGTAAGAAGCCAAGGGGCATCTGTAGGGGGCTCGGCTTAAAAGAAATAGATCAAGCTGCAGTCTGTCAGCAACATAGCCCTAGACAAGACCTCTTCAGAAACCCATATGGAAGTAATGAGGGCGCAGACGCGGTCTGTGTTCTACAGTTCATAACCACGGCCCAGCCTGAACTGCTTCCCAAACACCATCAACACAGATTTTACTTTAAAGGGCCAGCCATCCGACATGCGCCCACTCCCCTGACAGAAATGTCTCTACCGGCGCGCTACCCCAGGCTTACCGATGACCACAGCGCTGACTGTGAGAAGGATGAAGGCATTTCTCCGCAGGAACCGGAACACTTTCTCCCGGCTCATAGTCTGGATTTGCAGCCGGGTTCGGGCTGCGCGCTGTCGCATGGAGTCCTGAAACCCCTGCAGCCAACTCTGACTCCCAAGGCGTTGGGAAACGCTTTCCCTCAGGAAAAGGCTATTGGCGTGGCTGCTCATCCTTAGAGCCAGTGCTCAAGCCTGTGGAGACTTCGGAGGGAAAGCACACAGGGAGCCCCAGCGCTGGGGAGAAAAGAGCAAGGGGCCGAAAGGAGGGCAGCAGAGGTAAGGAGGTAGAGAGGGTGGGGGAAAAAATGAGAACAAGGGGGGGACAACATGGAAAGAAGTAGATTAAGCTCCTCCACATGCGGACGTTAGGTGCACAGAAAGGTGCAGGAACCTACGAGAAACTCTAGGCTAAGACTCAATCTGCAAGGTTGAGGTAGGAGTGGCTAGCTTGGCAGAGTACTACATGAACCTATTAACTGGGATCGCTGGAGTTCTCCTTTCTCAAGCTGAGAAGTCTGTGTGGAAATGGTGATCTTATCACCTGCATCAGAAAAGTCTCTGGTGCTAGCAAAGAGAACTCTTGGCTAGAACAGGGATTCATCAACTTTTTCTACCATGGACCCCTTTGTTAGTCTGTGGAAACCCATGACCACCTTCTCAGAATCATGTTTTTAAATAAATAAAATAAGATATATAGGATTACAAAGAAAACGATTATATTGAAAAGCAATTTTCAAAAAAATTTTTTTTAAAATAAGTTCACTGACTCCAGGTTAAGAACCCCTGCTCTAGGCTGACTGCTTCTGGTAGGTACTCATGAGTACTCATGAGAATGTGATACCCAGCTGGATCACATAGAAGACCACTCTTCCATAATCTCTATGGGATTCCATAGAAGACTTCTCCACCTGACACATACCCAACCCTCTTGGCCTCTCCATTTTTTCAAGCGGCTCTGGTGGCCAAAACTGTATAATAAATAAATGAATAAACCCAAAGCTGTTGCCTTTCCACTGGGCACTTGTTTTCTGGTCAGGGTTTTCCTATTGTCAATTGCAAAGAAATTGGGCTACTGTCAATATTCCCCTTTCCAACCTTTTTGGGTGATGTTGTTGATTGAAGGGTATTCACATTCCCTACTTTTTCTACGGGCCATAGTTCTTTCATTCTATCAAGTGATGTCCCTGCCCACCAATTGCAATGTTGCAATTAAGGATTGGATTACTTGCAAGAATATTCCACCCTCTTCCTCATTTGGATCAGGAACTCACATGGTCATCTGAAGAGATGAATGGAAAGGACTAATTTCATACTAGGAGCATAGGCTTTAGAGCTGGAAAAAGACCTTAAAAGTCATCTAGTCCAGGCTTCTCATTTTACAAATGAGAAAAATGGGATCCAGAGAAGGTGAGGTGACTTGCCCAAGGTATTAATATGGGTATTAAAAAGCAGAGTCAGGATTCAAACCCATAATCCTAACTCCAAAGTCAATTCCCTTTCCATGATGCTATGAATCTCAAGTGTCATTGCTACTTCCTGAGTCAATGCATCAGGAGCTAAGGTGGTGGAGTCCAAATGGAGCATTTCTGTAAGTGCTGGTAATGACACTGAACTACCCTCAAAATGCCTACAGATCTGTTTTATTTTCAGTGTATTGGTTGTTCTCCTTCTAACTATGTCTACAAAAGCTCCTGGAATAATCCCACTTAATTGGGTCTCCCACCAATTCTTCACAAGCTAATTCTCCCTTCCAGTGGTTTTTGTGTCTGGTGAGAAATTATTACACTTAATTTTCTCACATTCTCCTCTACAACGTTTTTTAAAGAGGCTTGAGTCTCTTCTGTTCCTGTCTACCATGCCTCTGGGCTTGCCAAGTGGATCAAGCATTTCTTGTTGGAGACAGTTTTATGCTTCCTTTGGCTTTCTCCCAGTGGTGGCTTTTGGGTACTGGTTAAATTTCTCTAAGACGTGGTGATAGTCAGTGTCTTTACTTATTGTTATTTTCTACTTCAGGGAGTCAATCACTTGCTCAAATTGGGGCCATTAAAGCCACTGTAATTAAATGTATTTTTTTCATTTTTATCCTTTATTCTAATTCATATTGATTCTAATTTTTGCTCCAATTAGTCCATGAGCTGACTTCACAGAGAGTTGATTCTCAAATGACTCCCATATCAGTAGCCAGTCATTTTCCCTCTATTAAAATATTTTGTCAACTTGTCCTGTTGGGTGACATGGCATAGCAAAATGCTAGACTTATAATCTGGAAGACTGGAGTTTCTGCCCCCCACCTCTGACATTTGCTACCTGTGCAGCTGTAGGCAAATTGCTTAACTGTTCCGAGTCTCAAGCAATTCTCTAAGACCTACTTAATTTTTTGTCTCCTAAATTATTGACAGTTTACAATCTGTACTGGTAAAAACATTTCCCATTTCTGTGAAATTACAGATCTTTGACTTTTAAGGAACAATGAAGGTGAGAAGTTTGCGCATGAGTTGGGAAAAGTCCAAGGAAATTGGAGATAGGAGAGGAAAAGCTACAACCTATTGGATTAATGGAATGGAGGAAGACCCTGAAATAGCAAACACATTAGGTCTGTCCACCTACATCTCACACACACTGGAACCTTCCCAAAGGCTCCTTTTCTCAATGTCCACTTTCCTCTGGGGGAGGAGCTTTCTCCTGGTCAGCTGGGAAGCCTGGTGTTTGAGTCCAGGAAACAGAAAGTCCATTATGATATAATGTGGATACGGGTTTTACTTCCAGCTGGGCTACTTTCACCTGTGTGACCTTGGGCAATTCACTTTCCCTCTCCACGCTTCAGTTTCTTTATCTGTAAATTGAGAGGGTTGGATTGAGGGATCTCTAAATTCAGGTCTAAATCCCCAGAATAAAGTCTCTTGGGATTGGAATATGCAGATCTGGTCAGTCCTTGGGGCCCCTAAGGCATTCTAAATTCACTCACTCCCCCACACATACACTTGCAGGCACATCCCCTCCCCCTAGCCCTCAGGCATCCAACCCCTTTAGCCACTGGCAATATCAACTATTTAAGACTGCTGCCCTCTATGGGCCCCAAGAATTTCCTTCAAATAGAGAGCCCGAGGCATAGGTAAATGTACACAGAGAAGAGAAACAGAGGCAGGGATGGGTAGGGATATCAGGATAGGGGCATGGACACAGAGACAGGAACATGAATGCAGAGATAAGAACCATGGACTTTGGGATGGAAAAACAAAGGAGGAATATAGATATGGAGTTAAGGACATGAACACAGAGATAGAGACAGGACAGGGACATAGATGTATAGAGGGACATAGACACCAAAATGGCAATAGAGTCGTGGAGATATGGACATGGCTGGAGAGATAGAGACATGGACATGAAGATAAGGGCATGGGGGGGGTAGTGTGGATAAGAAGAAAAGACAAAGACACAGAAATGGGGATGGGGATAGGGACAGGAACACAGAGCTAGGACCCCATGCACACGAAGGACATATAAATGGGTACAAGGCTGAAAAGATGGGTACATGAACATAGGGATAAGGACACAGAGATGCAGGTAGGAACATAAAGATGGGAACATGGACAGAGAGATAAGGACCCAGAGACAGAAACAAGGACTTGGACACAACTGGAAATAGGGATGTGGAGATAAGGACAGAGATGGGGATGGACACACAGAGAAAGGAATCAGATAGGTAGGTCGGTAGACAGACAGACAGGTAGGGATAGATAGATAGATAGATAGATAGATAGATAGATAGATAGATAGATAGACAGACAGACATATGCCCACATAGAGATGGGACCATGAACATAGAAATTGAGACAAAGAAATAGAGATGTACCTGGAGACATAGACATGGAGATGAGGACTTGAACATTAGGGAGGGGGACATAGGCACAGTGATGAGGACACAGACACCAAGCCAGGGAGAGAGGGATAATAACATGGATCAGGTGGATGGGGACACACACATGAGTATAGAGACACAAAGAGGGAATGCAGATCTAGAGATGGACTCGCAGAGACAGGGACACAGCCATGAGATTAAGGGTAAAGAAATGGATATGTAGGCACAGAAATGGGGGGGGGGTGCATCTATAGTATGGACACACAAAGAGGGACATAAACATGAAGATGAAGACGTAGGCACAGGAATAAGGACTGAGAGACAAGGGCATACACACAGAGAAGAACACAGACACAGACATGGGAAAATAGGCAGAGAGATGGGGCCGCAGACATAGGAGTGAGGGCACAGACAGACCCAGAATGTAGAGCAGACCAAGAGTCAGAAGCAGGGAGATGGGAAGCCGGTGTGCCCATGTGCATTCCCGGTTCCTTCCCCATCCTCCCATCTCCCAAAGCCTGAGAGCCCAGGGCGGGATTTCACAGAACCCAGGATGGATCAGACTCACCCGGTGCCCTGGGGACAGCCTCAGCCCAGATGCAGCTATGCTGCAGCCTCCCAGGTAGGCTGTTCACAGCCTCAGGGAGTTGATGGGAATGGACCAGATGGGAAAGACTGAGCAGTGGCAGAGCCGAGGACTTACTGCCCTGGAGATGGCTGAACTGCAAGAAGGAGGGCAGCTCCGAGGAGGAAGATGAGAATGGGAAGCCACGGAGTGATCCGGGCTGTCCCTGCACTCACGTGTAAGCAGAGGGGGAGGGAGGAAAGGAGGGGGACTGACTCTGGGGGACCAGGATTCCCCCGCCCACCCCTGATCCTTGGCCTCTCTCCTGTAAGCAGGCAGGAAGCCTCACTGGTGGGAAAGGGGTGGGAAGAAAGATGTCTCTGTTGTCACGCTCTGGCTAAGCCTTAGCAGTTCCTATTCTGCTCTCCTCTCCTCCCTTTCCCCTCCTAACTGCTATGTCAGCCATACACAAGAAGCTCAGGGAGGGGGAGGAAATAACAGACACACTGAATGTTCTTCAAGTTTCTGAAGGACACGGACAGTCATAGATTCATAGAATGTTAAACCTGGCAGAGTCATAGAACACAGAAGACAGAATATCAGAGATGAAAGGGATCCACAGTGATCACCTAGTCTCCTCTCTAAAAAATTTACAGATAAGGAAACTGAGGACAAGAGAGGGAAAGTAACTTACCTTAGGTCACAAAGAACTTGTCAGCATGGCCAAGACTGGAACCCAAGTCTCAACTCCCAGACTCGGGATGTCTCTTCCACGTCATGAATTGGTGATGGTTAGAATTGAGTCTGAACTCTGCAAAACCACTGTCCCAAAAGGGATGGACTATTGTTATCTTTTTTGGCTCCCTACCTGCTTTGGGAGGTGGGGAGGCTTGAGGGGAAGAAAGATGGGGGAAAAGGGAACCAAAAAAGCTAATACAGCCTTAGACTGCATTAAGAGAGGCAGAGAGGCTCCAGGATGCATGACGGGGTAGCCCTGCTCTTTTCTGCTCTGGAATGTTGAGTTTCATTCCATATGTCATTTTAGGAAGACATTAATAAGCTGAACAATTGTCCAGAGGAGGGTGCCAGACCTCAAATTCCTGTGTTAGAAGGATCCATTGATAGAACTGGGGGGGGGGTGGATGGAGAAGTGAAGGCTTAGGGTCATAGATTTGGAACTGGAAGGGATTATGGAGGTCATCTCCTCCAAACCCTTCATTTTAAAGGTGAGGAGATACACAGAGAGAAGTGAAGTGACTTGGTCAGCCTCACATTAAGTTGGGGGGGGGGTACATGGTATCCAATGAACTGGGGAGGGATCAGACACATCTTGTTTCATCTCAAAGAGCAGAACAATGAGGAGCTGGAGAGAGGCCAATTTGAGGTCAACTAGAGCTTCTCAAAAGAATAATGAGATGCCTCATGAGGTCATGAGTTCCTACTCAAAAGACACCTTTAAACAAACCAATTCCTGGGTTTGTGGTAGAGGGGATTCTTATTCAGGTATAGATTGGATTAGATGATGACCTTTGAGCTCTCTGTAACCTGGTGTCATAATGGACAGAGTGCTGGACCTGCAGTCAGGAAGACGAGTTCAAATCCAGCTTCAGACATTAGCTGGGTGACCCTGGACAATTTAACTGCTATCTGCCTCAGTTTCCTCATCTGTAAAATGGGGATGATAATAGCATCTCCTTCTAAGGGTTGTTGGGAGAATCAAGTGAAATAATGTTTCCAAAGCTCTTGGTAAACCTTAAGGTGCTATTGCTATAATTGTGATTCTGACACTTATTCCTGAGTTCTTAACAGCCAAGATTGCTGGGGAAGAGCAGGCTCTGGTAGTTGTGTTACTACTCAGGCCAAGCTACAGAACAAGCACTTGAGGGATATCAAAGTCTCTGGCTCATATGATTCTGTGATAGAAATCTCACTGGAAGGACACAGGGGACAAACCAGCCCAGCTCAGATAGAAATAGCCCACAGCTGACCCAACAGGGCTTACCACCTGCATTTGCAAGTTTGGGGGTGAGTGTGCATAAGTAAGGCTTAGAGAATAGAACTGAGGAGAACTCCCATTTCTAGAATGCTTTAGAGCTCTTGCCTTTCACAGCAACCTTGTGAAGTGGACAGTGAAAGTTCCTTTTGCACAGAAGAAAACAGAGTCTGAAAGAGGTAAAAAACAAAACAAAACAAAACAAAACAAAACAAAACAAAAAAACCCCAAAAACCACCCTTTCCCCAAAACGTAGAGTTAATTAGTGACAGAGATAACACTCAAACCCAGGCCACTTGTCTCCAATCCTTGTAATAACCTCCAATTCTCAGTGTTATTTTTGTTTACCATATTGTTGTTGTTATTGTTGGGTTTTTTTGTTTCAGTTTTTGTTTTTTACCAGACCTATGATTTTATTGATGTAGAACAGATGGTGAAGAACTTCCTCCACCAACAGAGACAGACGTTTCTTCTGCAGTCTTCCAGAGTTGTACGGGGCAGTGAGACACTAAGTGACTTACTCTTCTCACAACAACCCTGTAAGGGAGGTAATACCAAAACTATTTCAGAGATGAGGACAGTGACGTCCAAAGAGGTGGAGTCACTTGCCAAAGGACATAGAGCTGATAAGTGACTGGGTCAGGACTTGAACCCAGGCCTTCTGACTCCCAACCCAGACATCTGTCCCCTACTCTATGGAAAAAAATTGAGGCTAATCCCTCAGCAGGGAAAGGCACAGGGCTAATTATGGTAGACTCCATCTGGGCCATCCCTACGGCCTCGAGAGCTCATTACGGGAAAGAAAGAAACTCATTATTAGATGTTGGATTGGTTTTTCAGTGTCCCCACCAGGGACCCAAAACCCAGAGGCTAAAAAGCAAGTCTTAGCAACTGCAAAGGTAGCAAAGACTCCCTTCCTCCTCGAACCCATTCCTTCTCAGCTGTGCCGCTAGAAATGACCATCCGCACTCAGTTGCACCTCAACTGAAGTCAAAAGCACAGGGATGAGGGACATTTAGAAGGTTTGAGAAAGTCTTAATTGAAAATATTTTAAAATAGTTTTCCCACTCCTAGAGGCTTTCCCCTTTCTCTTATTTCTCTCTGCTCCTTCTCTGTGTACTTTGCTGGACTCTCTCTTCGTGACCCCAAATTGTGGGTATCCCTGAAGTCTCTATCTTCAGCTCTTTCCTATTCATGATGAGCTCATCCGCTCCCATTCCTTCAACATGGGTTACTTCCAAATCAGCCCTGACCTCTGACCCCGTCCGGTCCTGAATTTTCCAGTTACATTTTCCACTGTAAGACCTCTCCGTGATGCACTGCACCACAGGATTTCAGAAGGATCTAGCCCTGAGCCCAAGTCCTTGCTTATCCAAGTCAGCTTCGCAGGAAATCCTGTTCCCTCTCAGAATTACACAAGGGTACTTTGCCCTTGACCCCGGGGCTCTCCCCTTTCCTATTTTCTTTATCTTCGCGGGTCACAGAACCTAAGCTCATTTAACTAAATTTTAACCCGAGTCACCGAGCTTCCTCATGTTGCTCCCTACAATCCAACATCTGCTGCATTAGATAGATCCCTATTCCGTGCCACTCAAGGAAAGGTTAAAGGAACTAGGGCTGTTTCTCCTACAGAAGAGAAGGTTGTTGGGGGTGAGGGATAAGCTACGTCCTTTCAAATACCTGAAGGGCTTTCGTGTGAGAGGGCACATAGTAGGTACTTGATAAATGTTTGTTGATTGGTTTATTGATTCTTGACCTCAATGGTGCAGCACTAAGAACAGCTAGAAGGAGAAGGACTAGAAGGATGCATATTTAAGATTAATGGGGGGGGGAAATCCCAACAATTAAATCCGTCCCAAAATGCCCTGGGAAATAGTGACTTCCCTATCTATCAATGCAGGTCTTTAAGCACCGGGTAGTTGATCACTTGTCAGGTGTTGTAGAGGATATTTCTCTTCAGGTGCAGCTCAGACTAAATGGCCTCTGAGATCTCTCGAAGCTCTGAGGTTTGGTGAGTTTTCCAGGTAATACTCACCTGCACTGGCATTAGGATAGGGATAGTCTCCACAGCATCCAAATAGCGTAAGTTACTTGGTGGGTCCAGCGGCAGTGTGCAGACTCACGTTCAGGACCCTGGTTAACAACAAACTACCTTGTTACTATTAACAGCCTTAAGGATGAAGGATTCACAGGAAGCAAACAGGGCAAGGAGTCCAAGATAATCCCACATCCTCTAGGCAGGGGCAGAAAGCAAATCATGTTGTCACTGTTAGAAACAGAGTTGGAAGACACCTCAGAGGATATCTATCCAGTCCAACCCAAACTTGAGGAAGAATCTTAGGTCTTTTTATTCTCAACTTGACAAATGCCAACAAACACGAACATGTGCACAGGAAAAAAGAAACAGAATAAAATTTTCTATTATATACAATTTGTTTTTTTTAAATATATAATAAATTCAATGAATTAGTTTCAAAGCTGTCTTGCTTATCTCATTCTCCCTCTGAACTCCCTTCTGTTTTCTTCTGTGCATTTTAAAAATGTGTCATTGGTGCTTTTTCCTTTCCTTTTTTGGTATCATTGGCAGCACTCGATTCTACTACCCCCTCCACCTAAAGAGAGAGAGACAAAGACAGAAAGACAGTGAGAGCCCATTCCCTTTGGACAAATAAGCAGTCAAGAAATGCAAACTGATTCCTGAATGTTTTTGAAATTGTGTCACTTTCAGCAGATTTTCTTTCTGTATATATTTGGCTTCTAGCCATTCTTCCCAAATTTATTTGCTTAAATGTGATTGCTGCTTACTCACCTAATATACAGGGATCTAAGGCAAGAAAGGCAGGAGAAAAATTGTGTTTTTAAAAGACCTTGTCTTAATCTGGGATTTAATCCTACAATTCTATGACCCTGTGAAGATTAAGTTGTGGAAATAAGCAAGTGAAAGCCCAGGGCATGCAAACAAGTAGATTATAAACTCTTTAAGGATATCCCTAGAAAGGGGGAGGGAGGGAGGGAGAGAGAGAGAGAGAGAGAGAGAGAGAGAGAGAGAGAGAGAGAGAGAGAGAGAGAGACAGAGAGAGAGACAGAGAGAGAGACAGAGAGACAGAGAGAGAGAGACAGAGAGAGAGAGAGAGACAGAGAGAGAGAGAGAGAGAGAGAGAGAGAGAGAGAGAGAGAGAGAGAGAGAGAGAGAGACAGAGAGAGAGAGACAGAGAGAGAGAGGGAGAGAGGGGGAGAGAGGGAGGGAGAAAGGGAGACAGAGAGAGACAGAGAGAGAGAGAAAGAGAGAAAGAGAGAGAGGGAGAGAGAGAGAGAGAGAGAGAGAGAGAGAGAGAGAGAGAAGAGAGAGATTAATATGGGACACCAGTTCATATTTCTCACAGATTTACTTGCCTCTCAAAATGTCTCCATAGGTGCAAAAATATTTATAGCAGCTCTTTTTGTGGTGGCAAAGAATTGGAAATTGAGAGGATGCCCATCAATTGGGGAATGGCTGAACAAGTTGTGGTATATGAACGTAATAAAATACTATTGTGCTATAAGAAATGATGAAGGGGCAGCTAGGTGGCGCAGTGGATAGAGCTCTGGCCTTGGAATCAGGAGGACCTGAGTTCAAATCCAGCCTCAGACACTTGACACTTATGTGTGACCCTGGGCAAGTCACTTAATCCCAATTGCCTCACCAAAAAGTAAAACAAAACAAATAAACAACAGCAAAGAAATGATGAACAGGCTGACTTCAGAAAAACCTGGAAAGACTTGTATGTTCTGATGCTGAGTGAAATAAGCAGAACCAGGAGAATGCTGTACTCAGTAACAGTGTGATGATTAATATTGACAGACTTAACCCTTCTCAGCAATACAAGGATCTAAGACATCTCCAAAGGCCTCATAGTGGAAAATGCTATCTACATCCAAAGAAAGAACTATGGAGTTTGAATGCAGATCAAAGCATACTATTTGCTATTTTTTTCTCTTCCATTATGTTTTGTTTCCTCTTTCTGGTGGTTCCTCCTATTGGTTCCAATTCTTACTTACAGCATCACTAATGTGAAAACATATTTAATAGGAATGTATATGTACAGCCTATATATATCAGCTTGCACGCCATCTTGGGGAGGGAGGAGAAAAATTTAAAACTCAAAAGCTTATGGAAGTGATTGTTGATAATTCAAAATAAATTAATAATAAAAAAAAAGTCTCCATAGGGATATTCCTCTTTTAGGCTTTAGCAAAATTGAAGATCATAAGGGACATAGACAATGAAATATAAGGGAAAGGCCCTTTCAGGAGCAAATGAATCATTCTGTACCTTGGAAGGGAGTCTTGATTTGAGTAATTCAATTGTATATAAAAAAAAGCCAGCCAGCAGAGACACTGAACTTGCCTTCTGGCTAATTGCTTCAGTACTTTGTCTCCAGCCACTAATTTGCATAAGACCAAACAGAAATCTAGAAAATGCACTGAGGTGATCACCATAAGTTAGGTGAGGTCCCTGACTGAGGGAACCCATTTCTGAACCAGAAAGAATTGTGGATTAAAAGAGGTTATACCAGTCCTATCTCCTTTCTTGTAAGTGACAAACTTCTGAGTCCAGACCCTGAGGGAGCTAATCTGGAGAGGATTCTGCCAATCCTGAAATGAGTCTCCCTCCTTTCTGAAATTGTACAATAGACCTGGAAAAAGGACAATAATAGCATCAAAAGAACATCCAATCAAATCTAAGGCTGGAGGTAATGAAGGTAATGATAATAATAACACATTTATATTATATTGAGTAGTAGAGTACTTACTATGTGCAGCTGCGCGTGAAGGAGCAAATCTAGAGAGCCTAACCAATCTACCCATCCAGCACAGATGCCACGCCCTGTGAAGAGCTGTCCCAGCAGCACAGCAACCTACTTGGCTCAAGACATTCAGAAGACATGTCACAATCTGGGAGAAGCCAATCCAGAAGCTAAGCTATTTACCCCATTACACGTGACCCCACATCAACCCCTCTAGCAGACATGCTAACCCTATGAGGAGTAAGCCCAGCTAAGCCATTCATCCAAGTGAGATGCAATGTTCTGTGAGGAGCCAGCACAGTAAAACAATTACTGAGTCACTGATATTGATACTACCTCCCATGGTGAACTTCAGGAAATCTACAGAGAGAGGACATCAAGGCTCTGCTCTTCTGGTGTTGAGTTGGCTTGGCCAAATGTATTCTGTACTTAAGCGTCTCACTACCACTGTGCTTTTTTCCCCTCTCCTCCCAAAACCCTTATGTATTTATGGGACAGTATGCTTCAAAATTTTGAGAGAACCCTTTGTTATGCCACTTGAGTGAATATATTTTCTGACGGAAGATAATTGTTCTTGGGAATCATTATTACTACAGTGAGTAGAAACCCATGGAGTCACCCCTAGAACCTTCCAAAGCTTCAGTTGCCCCTTTATAGCCCCAACTTCTCAGCATCAGAGACAGCTGGGGGAGTGAGCCCAGAAGGGAGGCTACATTTGCAATTTGATTCAATGGCAGTACCTATTAGTTGAATACCTCCTTGGTGCAAAGCACTGCCAAATGGGGAAGCTACAAAGCTTAGGTAGGACCTGGTCCTTGTCTTCATGATGCATACAGTTTGTTCAGGAGACATATTGCATACACATGCAACTATAATACATAGTTGGTCTTACGTGTGTTAGAGAGATGCAAAATAAAGTGCTGTCTGAGATCCAAAGGGGAAAGACTGTTATCAACTCCAGGGATCAGGGAAGGTTTCCTGAAGGAAGGGACATTTCATTTGGGCTTTTAAAAATGAGTAGGAATTCAACAAATGGAAAGTTGGAGGAAGAACATTCCAAACATAGGAAACAGCATCAGCAAATTCACCGAGACCTGAGAATGTTTAGAGGGCAGAAAGCAGTCAAGTTTAGCTGGAGCCTAGAGTGCATTCTGGGGGGAGTGGGACACAAAGGAATAATATGAAGTGAGGCTGAAAGTGTTGTCTAGAACCAGACTATGAAGGAACTTGAATACCAGGAGAGTTCAACAGTTGTTCAGTAGGCAATAACAGAAAGCAGTTGAGGAACCTTGAGCACAGGAGTAACATGACCAAATCCATGTGTAAGAAAGATATTTTAGCAGCAGTAAGAAGAATGGATTTGAAGGGGCAGAAAGTGGAGGCAGAAATACCTGTTAGGAGGCTACAGAAATAGTCTAAGTGGGTGATAATGCAGGTCTTAATTTGGATGGTAGCCATGGAAATAGAAGGCGGGGGGGGGGAGGGGTTGGAAGGGACAGCAGTTGTGGAGGTGGAATTGATAGGACTTGGTGTCAGATTAGTGATGAGAAATGAGTCAGAAGAAAGAGACAAAGATAATCATGTTGTGAACTGGGCAAACTACATATTTGTCTCATTCTGGATGCAAAGTGATGTTGGCTTTCTACTATGTCCACAGAGCCCAAAACAAGAAACACTGATAGGACAGAAATATCTGAAAGTTCTGTTCGTTTTCCTGCTGCGTGTCTAAGATCACAAATGTGTGTTCTCTTGAGCTGCTGTGAGAGGGAGGCAGCAGACCTACTTTCCACCCACAGACCAGTCATCTTACATCTCCATATTGAACTTGCAGGGTCCCCCACTGGCTCTTGACTCTTTTCTGAGGGAAGTGACCTTATTTCTCAAAGATAGAACTGATTCTAGGTCACATCCCCATGGAATGCATGAGCTACCAATATGCTTAACTCAAGGAGAAAGGGAAGCATTTCCTAAAAGTAGATCCTGATGCCCCAGAAGAGAAGCCACAAGGGGCCTTGGAAAGGGGTCTCTGATAATTAACTGTAGAGGGACAATGCAGAAACTAACTCTGTGCTTTACTGAAAGGAAAAGGAAAAGGGAAAAGTAGCTAGAAAGTGGTCAAGAGATGGGAATATGAATTAACTCTGACACCAGCTGTGTGACCTTGATCAGGTCATGTATGGGGAAATACACTAAATTATCTTTAAGGATCCTTTCCAGCTCTGGTATCCTATAATTCTATAAAATCCTCCCCCTAAATCCTCATCCTTAGAAAACATTGCTGAAGATCATAAAATTTTGGGAGATAAACTAAAGATTTTAGGGGCATGGCTGGTGTTTTCATCATTCCCAATATCCAAAGATAAAGGATACGGAAGACATGAGTATGTTTGGGATTTGGGAAATATAGAGCTAACTCTGCCTCAGGAAGCTCTCCAGAGTGAAATTCTGAAAATGCAAACAGAAAAAAACTTTAATAAGGAAGAAGAGGGGAAGATGACTAAAGACAGTGATAAGGAAGACAGGTGCTAAAACAGGCAACAAACAAGTATACACTCATACGTACACGATCTCTGCATCAGCTGGCCTCATGAAACTGGTTTTCTTTGTTAAAATGAAGAATTTCTTTAAACAGGAATATTGGGAAATGAATGGATTAAATGGATTAAAAAAAACATGCATCCTAAAAACTTTTTTAAAAAAACTAATAAGGAGACCGATGTGACTGAACAATATGGAAGTAAGAGTTGAATATATATACTCACAATAGATTTTAGTCTCCTACTTAGTACCAAACTTAGCCTTTCAACTTCCATAACCACCACCCTGGCTTAAGCCCTTTTAAATCATCCACCTGAACTATTGTAAGAGCTTCCTCTTTCCCTTGCTGCCCCTTCCCAGTCTCTACCTTTCTCTTCCGTCCTTCTGAGCCACAAATCCCAGGATGCCAGGCTATTCTCAAACCCCTACTCTATTAATACACTTCTTATCCTACCTCTTCCATTTCTTGCACTCATGAAAACTGGATGTTTCTTCTCTCATTCCCCACTCTTTGTTCCTCACTGATGCTTCCAGACATTCCCCCTACTACCAACACCCAGCTATCTCTCTTCATTTAATGTTCATTCCATTGACTGATATGACTCCAACCAGACTCTGGGGAGGCCTTGTCTTGCTCTACCTTCCTGGTCCCATTGTGGTCTTTATCCTTCATAACTTTCCCTGGATCTTAGAGCACTACATCACATGTCCCTTCTTGCACTCAAGGACATAGGGTCCTCCTTGGAGCACAGTGCATCCCCATCCACTGCCCCACCATCCCTTTGGTACTGGATACTGGGCCAGGTAGAGGAGAAGTAAGCAAATTTCTTTCTCCTCACTGACACTTACAGACTCTCCCTTTACTGCTAATCATCAGCCTCTTTTGAGGATAGATACTTCCTGGATTAAGGAAGACCTGATTTCAAAGCCAGCCTCAGACTCTTAGCAGCTATGTGACTCTGAGCAAGTCATTTAATTTGTTTGCCTCAATTTCCTGTTCTATAAAATGAGGATAATAATATCACCTACCTCCCAGAGTTATTGTGAGGATCAAATAAGATAAAAATTGTAAAGCTCTTAGTACAATGTCTGACACATAGTAAGCACTGCATAACTGTGAGATATTATTATTGTTAGTTATTAATTATTATTGTTAGTTATTATTACATAACAACACTGATAATACTTTAAGCTTTACAAAGCACTTTGCATACGTTTTCATTTATTCTTCACAACACCTCTGTGAAACAAATGCTATATGGACTTTTTTAAAAAATTATACCCATTTTACAAATGAAGAGACTGAGTCAGAGGGAGATCAAACAATCTGCCCATGATTACTAAGTTAATAAGTGTCTGAGGAGGATTTGAATCCAGGCCTTCCTGAATTTGCCTCTCTTCCTTTCTCAAGGAGTTTACTACCTGGTTCACTCTCCTCCTCTCCATCCCAACCACTGCCTTCTTACTCAGGGACTTCAAGAGATGTGTTGATCTTCTCTCAAACCCAATGGACTTATTCTGAAGTGATCCCTTGTCACTTATCAGATGTCTCTCTAAACCACACTTTCAACCACATCCTCCTCATTACCCCAGGCCTTGGCATGCAGGAAAACTTGAGAAGTCTTGAAGGCAAAGAAAGGGTCCTCTGGATGAGAGACAGGGAGGGTTGTCACTCCCTAGCCCACTTGTGATCACCAGGCTATACCTGTCCCCAGGCCAGGCTCTGGGGGAGCAGAGAGGGAACCCTTGACAAGAAGCCAACGTGCATATCTCCCAAGACTGTCCTGGGCCACCTTTTCTTCTTCGCACTTTTTTTCCCCTTTGGACCTCACTTATTCCCAGGGTGTCAAGTATCCTGTCAATGCAGATTTCTCCTAAATCTATCTCTAGAGCTTTAATGTCTTTCGAATTCAAGTCTCTTATCCCCAGTGGCTTACTCAGCACCTCTTCCTGGATATTTCCGTAGCCATCTTAAACTCAATATTTCCAAAATGGAATTCATTTTCTTCTCTCCTAAACCTTCTTCTCTTTCCAACATTCCATTTTCTGCCAAAAAGATTCATTATCTTTCCATTCACCTAGGTTTGTGAGCTCAGTGTCATTCTTTAATTTTCCCTCTCCCTCACCACTCCATGTACAATCACCTGCCAGGTATTACTGTTTCCAACTCTATAATATCTCTCATCTCCATCTCCGAACTCATTCCGTTCTCTTCACTTGACTTGGCTTCTACTTCAGGTCCTCATGACCTCTGACCTAGGCTGTTGCAATAACCTCCTAATTGGTGTCCCTGTTTCTAACCTCTCTCCTCTCCAATCCATTTTCCTCACACTTGCCAAAATATGTTTGCTAAGGTGCAGGTCTAACGATGTTGTTCTTCTGCTCAAAAATCTTCGGTGGCTCTCCATTGCCATTATGGTACATGCAATGTTACCAGGCTCATACTCAAAGTTTTTCCAAAGTACCAGGATGTCCCAGAGCCTGGGCTCCACCAGCACAGAGCAGTCTTCCAGAAGCAAAGATCACTCCCATGCCATGATGGGGCATCAGTGAAAGACATTAGAGGAGGAGCAAATGCACAACCAATGCACAACCTAAGCTTCTCTTCCTTTGGATTTTACTTTTATTGTCATTGGCTCCACCATTCACCCAGTCTCCCATATTCACAACCATGCAGAGCAAAGGAGTAAATGGAAGTAGATGAAGGGATGAAGGAAGGAGTGTCTGCCTTGTATGGAAAGAGAAGGACAGGAGGAGAGGGAAGTCTGGGGTGGGAATGGGAGGGGTAGGAGGGCAGAAGAAGTGTCCCCCTCCCCCACTTCTGGAACCTCTTCCCTGAGTTGTAGCCCCAGTCACCATGGTGATGGAAGGACTGGACTGAACTCACTTCATCTGAAGGAGAAGGAAGGAGTCTCTTGCCGTCCCCCTACTGTGGGGCCCCAGGTAGGGGGCGGCAGCTAGGGCCATGCCTGTGTTCCTGCATCCCCTGGAGCCGGCTCCTGAAGATCGGGTGGGCCCCCCAGAATGGCGACAGCATACTCGGGTTACAGTGAAAACAGCCCGGCAGCTGACGGAGCGATGCGGCGCAACGCGGTGTCCGTGTGGCAACCCCGCGAAAGCATCTCAGACCCCAACACTGATCGCAGCCAGTGCCGAAAAACGTACATGTTGCCCTGGCGTTTCCGCGCAGAGATGCTCAAGGGCGGCGGAACAGTGGAGCAGCCTCCCCCAGGGGATGGGGTCACCCTCTGGAAGGAGAAGCTTAAGCCTCCCGCGTGGCTGGCAACCATCCCCCTGCCACTAAACAGGGAAGCCCGGGCTATGCAGAGTAATGAGTACATCCAGCGCTATGTCCGAGGTGTCAGGCTCTTGGCCGCTCGCTTGCGCCAGGCAGAGCAGGAAATCAATGAGCAGCTTCGGGCTGTCATTCGGCAGAGGGAAACCACAGACTATAGGCTCAGTGAGATACGAAAGGGTCTGCTCATCAACGAGCAAAGCAGGAAAATCCGGCTCTACCGGCCTGCCTCAGAGAAGGTGAGACCCTCTCTTCCTCAAACCTCCCTCCCAAGCTGTCAGGCCAGTACAGATTATGCAACCCTTCCAAACACCCAGAAGTCCGGGAGGTCCGATAGTCCCTACCCTCATCAAACTTTCAGGTCAAACACCCTCCACTCGAACTCCCAGCAGGACAGACAGCCCCTTCTAGAACCCACAGCCTCCAGGACCTCGGATTCCATACCCCCACCTAATTCCCAAGAGGTCACCCCAAGGTAGCCACAGCATATAGGAGACCAATCTCTGTTCTCACCCCCCCCCCAAAAAAAAAACCTCCCAGGAGGACAGACAAGCCTCCAGCCACTCACAGCCTCCGGGAGGTAAAAGAGTCCTCCCCCCAAACTCCCAGGACATCACACAATCCTGCCAGTCACCCTTGGAGATCAAACACTTTCTCCTCACCGTCCCAAATTCATTGACCCTCATCCCCCCCTCCATCCCCATTTCCCAAATCAGATACTCCTTCATCACACAGGAGACCAGGCGCCTCCTTCCCCTTAAACCCTCAGGTGGGACACATCTTCCTGGGGCAGTACCCAAGAGATCATATTTCCATCCCCTCTGGTCCTTTCTTTCTCTATATATAGGGCAGACATCTCTTCCTTCTCTCTTTCTCTAGGTCCCAGACAAAGCTGACACTCTGCTCCTGTGGGAGAAAGAGGAACTTCAGGGCCTGAAAAGGAAACTGGAAAAGGACATGGAGACCTCGGAGATCTTGCTTAAAGTAGGAGAATTGCAGGGCTTCTTTTTCTCTCCTCCCTTTTCCACCTGACCCTTTGGGATGAGGTTATTTTTGGCAACACACAAGGGAAATCTGGGGAGAGCAGTTAATTGGTTATTGCTTCTGAATATTATTGAGGTGTGCTATAAAGAGCTTTGGCCCTGGAATCTCCTTCCCTCCCCCCCCAAAAAAAACCCAACAACATAAAATTGAGCTCTGCCTAGGAAACCTCGAGCAAGTGATTTCCTCTTTCCATGCCTCGGTTTCCCCAGTCATAAAATGGGGATACTTGCCTTATTCATGTGCTGCTGAACAGAGCTGGAGAATCTCATGAAACTCGGCTGACTGGGGTACGTTACAAATTTATGCTACATAATCTCAGTCAGCAAGGCAATTCTTTTACAGATCCCTAACTGATTTGCTATCCCACTCCCAAGTCGCTTTTCCAAACCCTCTCTTGCCCACTTTCTCAGCTGAGAGTTTCACAGCCTACTTCACTGAAAAACCTGAGGCCATTCACTGAGAGCTCTTTCTCTCCTCTTCTAAAATCACTTGGACTCTTCTCTCACTCTCTTCTCCTTCACTTGAGCTATCTATATTTCCTATCCTTCTTGGCTAAACTCCCCAAGAAAGGGGCCTCCCCTTTCTCCCCTTTCACTCTCTGCAGCCTGGCTTCCAACCTCATCGTTCAGCTGAAACTACTCCTTCCAAAGTTACCAGTGAGTGATCTCTCTATCTCTCTCTCTTTTTTTTTTTTTGGTTCAAGTTTTATTCAAGATCATATACAAAACGTTTCCAGACCCAAGAGGGTTTAATTCTCCTCCTCTTCCTCCTCTTCATCCTGGTTGATCTGGAAGTACCATAATTCATAACTCTCCTTGTTGTTGGCCACCATCTGCAGCCAGTCCTGAAGATAGTTCTTCTTTAAGTATTTCTTTGTCAGGTACTTCAAATACCTCTTAGAAAATGGCACCTCTGACATCACGGTTATCTTACTCTTGCTTCTCTCAATGGTTACGACTCTGCCATGGAGGTTGCCAGCCTTTCCGTTCACTTTGATTCGTTCTTGCAAAAACTGCTTGAAATTAGCTGCATCCATAATCCCATCGTCCACAGGATGGGTACAATTCAGGGTAAACTTAAGGACTTGCTTCTTTTTTTAGCCGCCCTTCATCACAGATTTCTTCACGGGTGCCATGGTGATCTCGGAGCCAGAAAGGGCGTGAGTGATCTCTTAACTGGCATTTATAATGGCCTTTTCTCAGTTCTCATCCTTCTTGACCTGTGTGCACACTTTGACACAGCAGATCACCTCTCCTGATGGCTCTTCTCTCCTCTCTACGTTTTAGTGACATTGCTCTCTTGGTTCTTTTTTTCAGCTTTCCTGCTCACCTTCCATTCTCTTTTGATGATCTTCACCCAGGTCATGGTTATTAACCTGTATTCCTGTGACTGCCCTAGGACAGCATTGCAGACCAGCATGCCATATGAGACCTGTAGTCTCATGGCATTTCCAAGTGGAGACACTCGACAGTGGAGGGACAGTGGGTATCCCAGAAGGATCTGTCCTTGGCCTTCTTCCCTTCTGCCCCTTTGCTGTTTCACTTGGTAATTCCAACAGCTCCCATGCTTTCAGGCATCATCTTTATGCTGATGATTCCCAGATCTATATACCCACACCTAATTTCTCTCCCGTGTTCCAGTCCCATGTCACCAACTGTCTTTTGAACACATTCTGTAGGCATCTCAGCACCACTATCCTCTAAGACACCCAGGCTTATAACCTCAGTGTCATACTCAATTCTACACACTGGCTAACCCCACTTAAGCCAATCTTTTGTCAGATGTTGTCATTTCTACCTTCACAACTTCCCTTGTATGCACCCCACCTTTTCCCCTCTGACATATCACCACCCTGGTAGAGACCCTCATCACCTTTCAGCTTTATAATTGGACAACCTGTTTCAAGTCTCTCCCCAATCCAATCCATCCTCCACTTAGCTACTAGCTATTTTCCTAAAAAGAAAGTCTGACCACATCACCTCCTTACTCGATGAGCTCTAATTGCTCCTTATTACCTTTAAGGTCAAATATAAAATCCTCTGTTTAGTACTGACAGTTCTCCATAACCTGACCCCTTTCCAGTCTTTGCACACTTTACTGCCTTCCAGGTAGGTTCTCTAAAATCCAGCTGCATTGGCCTATTTCCTGTTCCTCCCAGTTGACAACTCCCACCTCCTGCCCCTTTGTCTTTGCACTGGCTATACCCCATAGTTGGATGGCACTGCCCCTTCACCTCTTAGTTTTTGTGCTTCCCTCAAACTCTCCTTTTGCAGGAGGACTTTCTAGCCCCCACCCCAAAGTTTGGAAAGCCTTCTCTCTGAGATGATCTTCTATTTACATTGAATATATCTTGTAAGTACCTAGTTTTTGCATGTGGCCCTTCCCTCTCTGTATTAGACTGAGCTTGCAAGCACATTTTTGCCTTTCTCTGTATCCCTGGTGCTTAGTAGAGTGCTTGGCACATAGCAGATATTTCCTAAGGATTTGTTGACTGATTGACCTTTGTGTGAATCAAATGAGATGTTGCAAGTAGAGCCTTTTACAAACCAGGAAGCGTCCTAGTAATAGGAGTAATCATGAGTGATATTTGTTGTGCCCCAATCCTGAGTGCTATTGAGCACATAAAAAGCAAACAAAGCATCATTTCTGTTCTTTCGTCAATCCAATCCAATAGTCATTTATTAAGTGCTCACTCTGTAGAGAGCCTTACACTCAGCACAGGCCATACGAGAACAGTTATTAGGCAAATCTTCTCAAAGAGTTTAAAATCCAATGTGGGAACACAATCACAGGCTCTTTGAGGTGGAAGGGGCCCCAGAGGCCATCAGATCTAACTTGGACCTGTACAAGCATCCACCTTTAATAACCCAACAACTGGACATCCAGCCTCCACCTGCCGACCTCTAGGGATGCAGAAGGCCTCTGCTCCAGACACAGCCCATTCCTCTTTGGCACAGGTCTCATTGCTGGGAAGTTTTTCCTTGCATCAAACTGAAATCTGGCTCTGTGGCTTCCACCTGCAGCACCTAGGTCCATCCTTTGGGACCAAGCAGGATAAGGCTAATCCTTTTTTATATGACAGTTCTTCAAAGTCTTTTATGAGGCAGCTGGGCAGTATAGCACCACAGTCCAGAACACTAGACCTGGAGTCAGGAAGACTTGAATTCAAATTTGGCATCAGACACTTACTAGCTGTGTGACCCTGGCCAAGTCACTTAACCTCTGTTTGCCTCAGTTTCCTTATCTGTCAAATGGGGATAATAATAACACCTACTTCCCAAGGGTGGTTGTGACATGAAATGAGATAATAATTGTAAAGTGCTTAGCACAGCACCTGGTACGTATGTAAATGTTTGATATTATTATTATTATTATTATTATTATTATTATTATTATTATTATTATTATTACTATTATTATTATTATTATCCAAACACGAAGGTAGCTAAAATGTTCCCCTGGAGTCTTCCCTTTTCTAGACTAAACATCCCCAAATCCTTATGCAGCATGATCCCTAATACTCTAGCATCTGGTTGCCCTCTTCTGGACAAGTGATTCCAGTTCAGTGGGTAACATAGCATAGAAGCAGAAATCACTAAGGTTGAAAGGACCTTAGAGGACATCTAGTCC